AGTAATAGCCTCAAATTTAAATAGCAGCTCACAGATAAAATCTATCTGTAAATATTTACGATATGTATAAATGCAAAATAATTTATAAATAAAAAGAGCGCCACACGCGCCCGAAGATGGTCACATCATCGGTATAAAAAAAAAAAAAAAATTATAATATTTAAATAAGTGCATATGAAAAAAGTGAAATATCGTATGATAAAAATTGCAGGAAAAGAATTTGTCCTAGTCAAAGGAAATTAATAATAGAAAACTTATCATATTTATATCAATAGTTTATAATATATTACATCATATCTAATAAAAAAATAATAATGTTAATGTATAAATTTAAAAATAAACTCCATAAAATAAAAAAAAATAAAAAATAAATTGAAAAAATATTAAAAAATAAAACTATATTGCCACGGTTGTTTGAGATTTTTTATACTTGCAAAAGAAAATTTCAGGCTATATAAGTATTTATCATATATATATATATCTAAATTCTTTAATAAACATGAACTTGAATTGAGTTTATAGCATAAAACCAAAATCAACCTATAAAAAATATATTTATCTGAACATGCAAGCTACTCAAATATTAGAATATAATATTGAATATTATACAGATGATTATAAAGCAGGTCTTGAGAAATTACTTGATCAATTTGATCAATTTGTCGAATGCCTTCAAGAACCCATTATAAATTCTGATCATTTGTTTACTGGTGCAGTTTTAATCAAATATAATAGCAACTTTCATTATGATAAATTAAAGGAAAATGTTGTATATTTTGTTCTATTAAACACAGATTTTCACAATTAGGTACACTCCTCTGATAGTGATCACTGGAATTTTGATTTTCACGTTACCTAATGATGATTGTAGCCACATATGTAACTTATTTTTTTAATAAGGAAAGTAAACTTGGCGTAGTAAGTGAAGTTGTTCAGAATAACGATTTGCATATATTCCAAGATTTTTAGGAATTTTAAATAAAATTTTATTAAGTCGTATTTAGCGTTTTTGATCAAAAAAACGAAAAATAAAAAAATTGTTATTAGCTCGACGCATTTTTAAACCCTATTATAAATAATAGT